CCTGGGAGGTCCAACCATTTCCTTTCACGCGTCTCCATCGTACATTTTGTCTTACCGAAGACAAACATGTTCTCCACAGGGTCCGGCAATGCAATTCTGCTCGTGATTTTGCCCATGGAGCCATTCTTTCTGACGTAACCATCCTTGGTAAACTCGTTGTTGTGGTAGCAGAGTCTGACCGGTACGGCGAGTGGCTTCTTCGGGTAGTCCGACATGGGGCACATCTTCAGGATTTGTCTGACCTTGTCTCAAATATGATATGAAGACTAAACCTTTAATATTCAATGGTTCATTCAGAATCCTGTTTCACCTATCTTGTGCAAGTCAAGACGCGATGCGACCCATCTTGTTGAAGTTGCTCGACCTGCGGGCATCCTTCAGGAACAAGAGGTCATTCTTGCGGAAGAATGTATCTGTCGCTGAAGGATCACCCTCTGGCGCCAACAGTGACGTCAGCACGCTCTGGTAATGACTTTCGTCCAGTGGAGGAAGCAGTCGATAGGTCTTACCAGACAATGCAGCCCTGTCGTACCGGCACGTTGCATCATAGATGTACAGTACCCTGTCAACCTTCCCCCCGGACTGGGCCAGGGCCTCTTTCCACTTGCTGTTGTCTGGCTCCTCAATGAACGTAGCGTACTGTGTCAGACCTGAGAGGCCGGTGGTCTGACACACAAAATTGCAATAATAATGGGTTCATGACCTGACTGACTGAAGCCTCAGGGTTTCTTAAAAGTAAGAACCTGACGAGAGCTGGCAAAGGAATACATGTTCTGCACGGCATCTGGCGAGACGTTGTGGAAGCTGTCTAACGCCAGACTGGGCAGAGTCAGTGAAGGAAAAAGATCTGACTCCAACATCTGACGAACCATTTCGTTTTCCTTGCTGATCACCTGCTCGTCCTCATTCTCCGCGAGAAGCTCGTCCACTACGGGCTTTTCGACAGAATGATCTGACGTAAGATGCTGTCCCAGAACCAGGGTGGCCTGCGAGTCATTGCCATCGTCCACAACACTCTCCGAGGCTGCGGTCTGACTGTCCTGCTCGCCAGCTGCCGGCGTCGTACTCGGTGGCGGTGGCGGTGCGGTCTCCTCCTCGTGCAGCTGGAGAATCTTGTCCAAGTCAAACAAATCCTTGCTGGCGGTTGCAAACAGGAAATTTGTTTTAAAAGTGAAAACCCACACTTGCTTCTTTGTCAAAACTCTGGGTCCTCGGAGGCGAAGTCTGACGATGCCAGAATACCTTCTGCTGACATGTTCGAGTCTCTGGAAAGGCATTTCAGGAGAATGTGGTCCGCGTTCCCGTCATACAGCATGTGGAGACCTGGTGTCTAACAGTAACACCAAATCAAATCAGCACGCAAATGAAGCTATGGCGGGCATGCCGAATCAGACAAGCTACCCGTGGCTGCCGCTCGCTCTGACGGTCTGACGAACTTCTCCGTAAACGCTGTGACCTCTGGCGTGTTGCCGCCAGCAAGCTCCATGAACTTGCCACGAGGGAACATGATATGGAAGTCTGACCAGTCGCCAAAAACCGTTCCGATGTTCTTACATTGGATCTTCCAGGCCACATAATGGGAGATCCGACGCAAGGCCAGGAAACACGGGATGACCTTGTGGCGGATGTCCTCCCTGACGTTTTGTGCCAACGTGCCCCTGAGCAGTCTGACATGAATCCCAGCCACAACGAAGTTCAGCAGCTTGTCTTGCAGCGGAAGGTTCTTGGGGCATGATGTCTTACCGCAGAGGGTGTCGAGCGCGGCCCATTTGGCCAAGGGGTGTGTCTTACCGAAAGCGTACTCCAAGCCGTCCAAATGGTTGATTGCCACTTCAGTCATACGTTTCACGATCTTCAAGTGGCACTCCACGGTCTTCTGACCGATGGTCTCCTCCGCGAAGTTGATCTTGGAGAACCAAGCCGCAACGTCTGACGATGTATGCGGCTTGTTCTGACGCTTCAGTGATTCTGACACCTGGTGAGTTTGAAGGCACTCCTTGTAGCCAAAAAGCTGGGCCGTCAGAGCGTCCGACTTGATGTTCTCCTCAAGCTGTCGCCGGAGCCTTGTCTGACAGGAACCCAAGGCACACCGAACCACACTGGGGGACTGCAAAACTCGACTCTGGTTTGCAGCCCGGATGCACACCAAACTCGTCGTCTGACACGACCAGCTGGAAAGTAACGGCTACAGAGCAGCTGGCTTCCTCGAACCTCTTGACCACATCCATGGCTTTGGTCTCACGTGCTTGCGCGAACCCCATGAGCCAGCCCATCCTGAAGACGCTCTTGTCGGCGACTTCCCATGTCCCCGCCTCGGGAGGCGAAGTCTTACTGGTAGCACGGATCCTGAGTTGATTCCATGCTGACACGTCTGGCCGTGCCTTCTTGGTACACACAGCCGGGATGAAACTTAAAATTAATCCATGCAAGATTCGTAGTGGCATGCTGCGGCTGGCAAATCTTATCCGTCAGGAGACCATCTGACGTACAGAAGTGGTGCTTGTAACTTCTGACAATACTTCCGTAGTTTGGCCAGACATCTGACTCGAATGCCTCAGCTGACATGAATAGAACAGGGACCAGTGAACTGAGCGATCAGTCTATGGACTGCGACGCTGTCTGACTGCCTCAGGCTGGTGCCACCAAACCGAGCCAGTGCAAGGGCACCACACACGTGTACTTGCCTTTGTCTGACATCTCCTGAGCGTAGTTGGCGCAGTCAAACGCCTGGATGCCAGCGTAGGCAATGGGTCTGACATCGGACTTCTCCATCTCCTCGACATAGTCCAGAAGAGGTGCCAGGATGTCTGCCGCCACACGCCTGTGATTGTGCACCGGCGAGGTGCTCATGCTTGACACCGTCGCCGCTGCTTTCTGAGACGGTGTCTGACAAGCTTCCTGCTGAGTCTTACAGTCAGCTGGCTTCTCCGCAGCCTTGGCCTGAGCTGCCTTCGGCTGAGCTGCCTTCGGCTGAGCTGCCTTCGGCTGAGCCCCCTTCGTCTTCGGCTTAGGAGCCATGGGGTCTGACAAACAGCGTCGCTTGATCGTCAATCTGACAGCTGCAGCAGCAAACTAAATGCCCCGTGAGCTCGTGAACCGTAAATGGTCCTACACGCAAGCTAAAGACTGCAAAGCCAGTCCTGGTTGTCCGACCAAAGTCCGCCATATGTTCCTGTAGGCACCTGTGACAAAAGCACAAGTTCCCAAAAGCATGTCATTGTCAGATTAAGATGCAACACCAAACGACGGGACGCTAGTTAGGCCTCCGGCGTCAGGCGCCCCAACTTGTGTCCGCAGCGTGCTGAGGACGCTAGTTGGGCCTCTGCAGGGCCAAATGTCCCAACATGGCAAAGTGTGTCCAGGGTCGCAATGGTCTGGGAGGGGGTTTAAGAGGCCCAACTTGTGTCCGCAGCGTGCTGAGGACGCTAGTTGGGCTTGCGGAATCGGAAGGCCCAACTTGTGTCCCACGCAATCATTTTCATCGCACACGATGACGGTCTGACCATCCAAAATCTGTGCATTAACACTCTTGCTGACTTGCTTCTGCCAGCATGCCTGCCGCACCATTTCTGATCTGACATAACAAAATTGAATTTGGTGCACTGATGGTCAGACTCAGCGTCAGCCTTTCACTCACATCAGGGCGAGCTCCATGTGAAATTTACAAAGCGTGTCTGACTTTGAGTTCGCTTGCAAAGCACACTTCCTCTGAAATGCTGCTGCTCTGACAAACACGTCGTCGATGAAGAGCTCTGCCGCCTCGTGCAGTTGTCTGACAGCATTGGGAGAGATTCGCCAATCATCCGGCTTCATCTTGTGCAACAGTTGTCTGACGGTTCTGCCGATGACCAAAGTTGGCATGAGGAAACGTTTCTGTTTGATAAGGCGATCATCCAAATTGTTTCTGTGACTCTTCGTTCCCGGCCAATGCTTTGCCGTCTTACTGGGTTTGCTGTCAGACAAACTGCGACTCCTTGTGCCAGTCTCACGCTTTCCGCCAAGAAGAAGAGCGACGTCCATGTGAGAGGCCACATCGTCTGACGCCTCCTCTGCACTCTCGGAGCTGCCGCGTGCCTTGATTGGCGATGGTTTTGCTTTACGCCGATCGTTTCTTGGAGTCTTACTTGGGCGCCTTGGCTGGGCTCGAAAAGGTGTGCCGCCAATAACCTTGTGGGGTGGAAGCTTGACCACCTTGCTTCTGACCATAGCTGGCACAGCACAGAAAGGGAAAGTCCACGACTGCTACCGTTGCCATGCTGATATTCAGGATTCGTCTGTCTGACGACGTCATGCGAACATGATCATGGTCAATTATAATTAGAACTACAGAGTGCGGTAATTACTAGACACCTGACCTGCGGCAGCTATGTTGATCCAACACCTTGAGACAAGGATTCTCCACAACGTCCTGGTCTTGTGCCCGCCAAAGCAAACGCTGTCACGAGGGCTGCTCCCTGCCTTCATTCATAATGTCCATGGTTCCGCTGCTGACCATCGTCTGACCTGATTGATTCAAATGATTCCCAGACAGAGCTTCCGCTGAAATTCAGCAGCAGAATCCGACTGAACAGTTCGCATGTCAACCAAAGCAGGCAACGGTAACCCTTTTTTCCAACCCTTGCATGTTCATTCCGATTCAGCTTCGACTCCAGCACTACTGACCCAACACTGCTGTCTGACCGATGGCCTCACTGGCTGTGGCTGTCTTTACAGGGCATCACGCATGTCTGACCACCTTCGTCGTGCCATTTGCTACCACTGCAGTTGACGGTTCAATTCATGCGACATGTCAGGCCAGAATCAGACAAGGAGCACTGTGATCTGCTCGAAAAAATAATCAGACGTGATCGGGTTACCGCTCTTCTTGTTGATGCGGCCTTTGTCCTTCTCCCTGGACTTCTTGGAAATCTTCTCTGACATGAGGACCCACGACCTCTTCTTGGTCCTGGCACACAGTCGTTAATAATTGCGGACAACGGCATCGTACTGACATGCAACAATCAATTGCAAACGAGCTGCAGGTTCTTACGGGAGTCACGGGTGGACCACAGGCAGTTCGCACTCGCAATCTGACAGCCCACGAACACGATCTGGCTGATCATGGAGGAAAACTCTGACGAGTTATGAAGATGCAGCTCACGGGGAACACTCACAGCACGTGCCAGTCGCAGCACTGGCTGCAGCTTCCATCCCAATCTCTTACACTCCACAAGCCACTCGATTCCTGCCACCCAGCCACCAACCAAACGAGATGCCATGAGGAAAGCGGGCAACCTTTCTAACTCAGGCGTCTTATTGTCTGACTCGTCGTCGTTATTAGTCTGACCAGCAGTCTGACCAATGGACTGACACGCCGAGCGAAGACCGCCCTGGCACACAATCTGACCTTCGTCCCCGTTTGTAAACCAAATCAGGTCCTTAACCTGGAACAGTTCCCGGAAGAATTCCACATCTGACTTCCAGGCCAAGGTCTTGATTCTCAGTTTGGCAAGCAGAGACTGCTCGTCTGACGAAAGTTCAATGCCAGGCATCAGGACGCAGCTGCAGGAAAATGATAATGTGCAGTTGTTCCTCTCTGACCATTGCAAGTCACGTCGTGTGAGGTCAGCTACTTCTCTCGCCTGCATCTCCTGCTGACAAGCTTGCAAGGTCGCCTCTGCATGCGGGTCTGACCCATCGGCCAGAAGTTCCAAAGCCTTCCTCTTCTTGTCCTGGACGGACCGCGCTTTGGATTGTTCAATGCAAAGGTAATTAAAATTACATTTCGAAAAATTTCAGTCACTAATGGGCTAACATCAGGCCAGGTGCTTGATTGTCTCGCATAGTCTTACAAAGGCTTTGCTGCTTGGCGGTGGCTTTCTTGGTGGCCGAATTCGCAGTGATTTCCTCAAGGCCTGCTTGCTCCAAAGTCTGGTCTGACCCTGATGCCTCCCGCTGTTGCTTCATCAATGATGTTATCTCATCATGTCTGACTCGGAGAAAGCCCTGAACGCCTTTAGGAGCAGCTGTCTTCTCTGACAATTTTCGTCTTGGCAGGTCTGGTGTCTTCCGCTGATTCTTAGCCGTCCCAAAAGTCTTGCGATACAAAGCCTGACATCGCAAAATCATGTCTGTGGAGGTGTACTGCATCTTGCCGTCTGACGAACGACTCATAGGACACAAGTCTGACACCGACGGCCCATCAAGCAGAACCTTGAGCAAGTCCCGCAGGTGTGTCTCACAGATGCGACTCTTCAACTGAAAAAGCTGAAGGTAGGAGAAATCTTGTTCTAGCTCTGACGAGCTCACCCAGATGCTCAGCATGAAGGGAACCTCATCGCTCGCAAAGGACACACGCCGAGTCTGACAAAGGCCGCCAAGACTCTTGAATCTGACTCTGATTGCCACCAAGCAGCCAGATTGTTCAGTATGGGAAGTGTCTTACGGCCCCAGTGCCGCAAGACCTCTGGCCAAAATATTTCTGGATCCGTGCATCCCCTCCTGCAAAGACTTTTAACAAGCATGTCAGTCTAAAATCACAATGATATTAATTTAAATTCAGAGTCTACAAAACGACAAATACAGCCTGATCGCAGCCAGTGCTGTCGGTCTGGCCACCAGCAGCTCCTTCACCAGCGGTTCCACCTGGTGACCAAAACTAAGAAAACAGTGCAACTCGTGCAAATCGTGACGGTGTGGACACCGGCCTCCACCTTGCCCACCGTCGCCAATGGCCGCAGAACGTCTGACCTCGGGCACCACTGTTACACATGATTCAAATTGTTATTATTATTTTAAATGTAAGTATTAATAATAAATATACATAATTAAAATTTCTTAGACTATACGCACCAATGCTATCAAAACGGCGGCCAAGGGACAGAGCCTTGTCATCCCGTGTCTCCACCCATTGTGTTACGTCGAAAGGCTCGAAGGCCTCTCCCAGACCAGCTTCGTGGTCTGACAAGACGCTTTGAAGATAGGCTCGCTTCATGTTGGCGATGGAGCCGAGGCCGTCAGCGATCAGACACTTCAGATCCAAGTCGTGGCCTTGGCTGACAGATTGAGGTCTGAATATAA